TCGGGCCCTTCGGGCCGAGCTAGCCGGCTGTCAGGCTACCAATTCTCGAGGTGTTCTTTGGGATTAATTCGATTATCACGCGAACGTCGCTAGGGAGAAATGGAAGTCTCGGGCCATCTCTTCAGGGTTCTCGGAGACCCTGGTGCGCATCATGATGGACCAGTATGGGGGCCCTGGCCATGTTAGCGGAGTGCGCCACCAACGGCTTCCCTGCTGGCTGTTCGTTTGCCACTCTCAGCTCGCAGATGCACTCGGCGCCCCCCAATGGGCCCCTGGGCCCCGAAGTTCCCCAGTGTGGCCCACTCGATCTTCCTGCGTGATTTCGTGCTGGCGATTCACAGCCCCAACGTTCTGCTCCTGGCATCTGATTTGGCTTGGGCAGCTGACGGCATGTTTGGCCATCGCTCGGACGTCCATTCCCTGTGCTGTTTTTGATTTCGTGCGTGGTTCTTTCCTCCAAATGATCAAGGATGCTCTTCGATGGTCCTCGCCGAAGGAAAAATGCACACGTCCGAGCGATGCCAAGATGCTGGACTTCATCGAGGGGGGCCTCGACTGCACCGGTCGCGCTGCTCAGCTCGGCGGCGCTTAGGCTCCTCGGCCGCGGTGCCGCAGAGAATGGCCACAGCTCTGGGCAAGCACAGCGGGCCCGCGGGGCCCCGGCGAGCGCCGTCCGCGCCAAGCCTCGGAGTCGATGTCACCCCGGGAGGCAGGGGATCCAAGAAGGTGCGGACGACCTCGAGGAAACGCACGGCTGAGATGAAACGTGGACTCCACCGTTCGGCTCAGCCCAGGCACGCCGGCGCGAGCATGAGGAATATTTACCTCGCAAGTTTGAAGGCGGCCACCTACTACGGCACCGAGGTCGTCGGACTCACGAACCCCGAGCTGCGCGAGGCCAAGTCCCAGCATTTAGAGATTGCGGGCCCCCGTTGCGCAACTAGGCCCAAGTCCCTGGCGTTATCTATCCTGGGGGGCCCTATCTGGAGCGCCGCTTTGGGGCCTTCTTGTTATTGGGCAAATATTTCTGAAGGGCTGCTCACTGCCCTGGGCCCATCGACTACGCGATCCCCATACCTAAGAGCACAAGCCCTGGAGGCCCTCCAAAAGCACCCGAAGAAGTGGCACCAAGTCCGAGGCCATCTTGGGGCCGCGCTCCTCAATCTGAACCGTCTGGGGTGGACCGTGCCCGATCCGCTTGCATTCCAGGATGCCGGCGGTCAGGACCCCCCCCCATCGCGACCTCCCCCGCCCCCAATCAGAAGCTTATTCGGACCCAATCGCAACGGCAACTCGACTTGCAGACAAGCCGCAATCCAGGACTCGACGAGCCGCTCGACCCGTCAGTCATGCAGCGCGCGCTGCAGGACAACTCGCTGCCAGGCCACATGCGAGAGACGTTGCTGCCCTACGCGCGCCAGTGCATTTGGACAAAAGAGAAAATGGTCACAGAAGGCTACCAGACCGAGGTGGTTTGCGAGATGTGTCAAAGCATTGTGGATTCCCTTCCCCGCGAACTCTTCGAGCGCCCATGCACCCAGAACCTGCGTCAGGAGAAGTTGGAGGAAGGAGACGTGGAGGAGCTCACAAACCCGATGAGAGGTTTTCCGTTAATACTGGGGTTCCAACTGCTGCCCGAACCTGTTGCCTGGAGGCCCTCAGGTTTAGGTCTAGATTGTGCAGTGCACTGGTCAAGAGATGGCCAACCCAAGGAGGTTGCCATACAAAGATCAGTTTTTCACTACGACAGTGTTTAAAAAACCTGGGCCCGCAGTCTACGACGCCCCCGCCTGGCCAGTAGTCAACGTCGACGACACTGGCGACCTAGTTGCCAACATCTCGTGCCCCGCGGGGGCCAGCCTGCCTCCCGCGTCGCCCGCTGCCGAGCACTTGGGATTCATAGCTGCCGCCTCCTGTCCCAGGGTCACCACAGCGTGGACGGACTTCAAAGGCATCCTCTCTGTCCACCTGAGTCCAGAGGTTAGTAGGACAGAAGCGTATGCTGGCATGTCTGTTTTGGCCAGGGCCCTGGCCAGCTTCGCTCCCTCGAGATCCAAAAAGTGAAGGCACACCAGGACTTAGACGCCCTGGGGGTCGGCTCGAAGGAGTGGTATGCTGCCAAAGGGAAGGACTGGGCGGACAGGGTTGCCAAGCAAACGGCCTCCCGCACCCCTGCCCCATCCCGGTTAGAGCGCGAGCTTCACAAGTCAGAGCGCTGCCGTGCCCAGAGACTTGCGGAAGCACGCAGCAGAAAGAGTTGTCCCATTGGCCTTCCATGGCCCCGAAGGCGGGCAAGAGAGCACTCGAGCAGCCCCCCCAAGTAAGGGCTCACAGCTTCGCGCTCTCGCGCCGCGCGAGCGCGCGAATGACCTCGCGCTCTCTCGCGCCGCCCCCCCCCGCAAAGGGGAGAAGAGGAGGACGAGGAGGAGAGGGAGAAGGAACGAGGACCGCGAGAGCGCGAATGACTTCGCGCGCTCGCGCCGGCCCCCCAGAAGGGAGAAGAGGAGGACGAGGAGGAGGGGGAGAAGGAACGAGGAGGAGGAGGAGGACGAGGAGGAGGAACGAGGAGGACGAGGAGGAGGAGGGGGAGAAGGACGAGGAGGAGGAGGAGGAGGACGAGGAGGGGGAGAAGGGACGAGGCCCGCGGAGCGCGAAGCGCAACATAACCTCGCGCCCTCGAGGGCGCCCCTGCCGAGAGCCTCGAGCCTCCTGCCGGTGCTGCCGGCGCGGCCCGGGCCCGGGCGGCCCCCCCGGGCCCCCCCGCGGGTCCTCCTCGGCGCGCTCGCGCGTGCCGCAGCCCGCAGGGGGCGGGACGCGACCGCCACCAGTGGGGCACGGCGGAGCGATCACGGTCAGGAGGCAACTGCTGGCAGGGTTTTCGTCGGGAAGATCAGGGAGGATCGAGCCCCATTTCGGAGCTGCGACGCCGGAGGGGGTCCCGGACCGAGCAGGGTTGAGCCGGATTAAGCGGGAGCAAGGGGGGCTAAGCGGGATTAGGCCGGATTTCGGACCAGGGCGAAAACAGAATTTGACCTCCCAGGAGTTGCATCCGAAATCACTGGCTGCGCCTGGCTTGCCACACCCGCGCCATAACTGACAGTACCCGCAAGGCCCGCATGCTAGAAGCATGCCCTGGAAATTCTGTCGCCCTGCCGAATTTGATTCGTGACCCCATGAAGCACCACCTCATGATTTGTGACTACCTTGATGTCGAGTCTTTCCTGGTCGCGTGCAGGCGGTGTGGCTGCTACTCGGAGAGCAAGCTCAAGGGTCTCAAAGGTGAGTGCAAGGGAAGTTTCCAAAGCAGGTTTTCCCAGAATGCGTGGTCCCTTTTGTCAGGCGGCCGACACCCCAGGAGCAGGTTCTCGGCACGCCCCCGTCTTTCCCAGCCCATCCCTGCCGCCCAGCTCCTCACGGAAGGTGCGGAGAGGCAGGCCGAAGAGAGCGTCAGTGGAGAGAGGATGTAACCAAGGTTTCAAATAAGGTCGATTCGACTAACCCTAGCCTTTCCCCCAGAGTTTGTGATGCTCTTCCTCCTCCTCCTCCTTCCCGCGCGCGATCGGAACACGAGGGGAGAGCAGGAAGGATGAGGAGGAAGACAAGCGTAAACCCAAGACGCATCGACGATGTTGCAATAACTTCTCCATCCAAGCTCCCTCTTCACAAGTCCCAACAACCATTTGCTATCATGTCGGGAAATGCCCCACTGGAAGACAACCGTCTGAGTCCTCGATCGTGCCACAACGCCCGGCGAATCAACGTGCGAATCAACGTGACTACTGCGAACTGACAATCACGCCCATCATGGGACTTCAGCACCGCGAGCTGACGATACTGCTGCGTCCTGGAAATCCCGAACCCTGCCAGACACCATTCCTGACACTTTAACTAGAATAATCCTTCCAACGGTTGCAAAATGTTTAACACCGTGTGCGCGGCGCTGAGGTGAGAGCCGCACTTTGAGAAGCTGCTCAACCTTTTAAAAACGAATGTGAGGCGAGAGACATGGTTTGAAAAGTCACCACCCTCTGAAAATCTGCTGCAAACTGTTCAGACGAAAACGCAAGGGGCTCAAGCGAAAACCACATTTTGAAAACGGTCCGGCCTACATTCTAGAAGTTGCTGCGACATCGTATTACGAGTGTGCGCAGCGTTGAGGCGACATCCACATTTTGAAAAAAGACCCACCCACTATCTTTGAAACCGTTGCAGACTGTTCAGACCAATGTGCGCGGCGCTAAAGCGAAATCCACATGTTGAAAACAATCCGCCCTCCATCCTTGAAGCTGTTGCAAGTTGAAAACAAATGTGCGCGGATCTATGGCGAAATCCAGACTTTGAAAAGGACCCACCTCCACGTGTGAAACTGTTGCAAGTGTTTGCGATGAATGTGCGCGGCGCTAAAGCGAGAACCACATTTTGGAAAGGAGACCCCTCCACGTGTTCAGTTGCTACACAGTTGTATGACGAATCCGGGTGGCGCTAAAGCGAAACCCAACTTTGGAAAAGCAGCCTACTCCACGTGTGAAATCGCTGCGATGTTTAGAAACGACGGCGTGCGGCGCTAAGGCGAGAGCCACATTTTGAAAACGACCCGCCCTCCATCCTTGAAGCTGTTGTGAATGTCAAACTTCGGGATAATAGATGATGAGGAAGCCCCAAGCGACCCCCCTGGCCCGCCCTACCGACACGCCTGTAGGCGAGACAGGGAGGAGATACTTCTGAGGAAAAGGGGTGGAGGAGGAAGGCGACGAAGGATCAGGAGGAGGGAAACGGAGAAGAAGGAAGGCGAGGAGCAAAAGGGTAGTAGGAGCCTCCTCCCCAACCTCCTCCTCCTCCTCCTCCTCCTCCTCCTCCTCCTCCTCCTCCTCTTCCGACCCCAGCAGAAAGGAAGGGAAGGGACAGAGGCGGGCCTCCTCCTCCTCCTCCTCCTCCTCCTCCTCCTCCTCCTCCTCCTCCTCCTCCATCTCTCCCTCCCTCCCTCCTGGGCGCCCCCTTGCCTGGCGCGGCGAACGAGCCGTAGGCGCCCTTGGATGTCCCGCCGTCGCCGCCGCCGCCCTTGGCGGCGGACTCGAAGCCGAAGCCCATGGCGGCCTCGAAGCTCTTCCCCTTCGGCGTCGGTTACTGCAACGAGGACGCCGACGAAGACAACGAAGCCGACGGCAGCGATGACGAGCTCCTCCTCCTCCTCCTCATCTTCCTCCTCGTCCTCCTCATCCGCCTCCTCCTCCTCACCCTCCTCCCTTGTAAACAGCTTCTCGTCTTCGCACCACCACCTCCTCACCCGTTTCATAAACAATTTCTCCTCCTTCTCCTGCTCCTCGTCTTCCTTGTAAAAGCCTTCTCCTCGTCGAACCGCTAAGCGCGTCGGGTGGCCGACACGGACGTTTGGCTTGACGCCTCCACGCGATCTGTAGTCGTGGAGTTTGCACGGTGGAACAATTACACGGATGGACAATTTCAGTCAACATTGAATCGGGAAATAGGATCGGATCAAAAAGTGCGTCGGATCGGGCCGCATCGGCACGAAACCGAAACCGAATCGAATCGGTTGTATCAGGGTGCTCAAGAACGCCCATGCAAGCATCGGGCCGCATTGGTTCGTCGGGACATCGAAATGGAATTGGATCGGCCCCGTTGAAATCGAGATCGGATCGGATCGATCGGGTCGAAATGGACCAAGATGGATGGCATATCGCTTTCAATATGACGTGGCTCTCGCAGCCGCGCCTCGCGCCTTCGTTTTGACACATTCCTACAACCACACGGGCAAATACGGAAGTGAATTCGTTATATAAATGTGGTATTCGCCTGGGTTCCGCGCACGTTCGCTTTCCGACAACTCGCAACAGCTACATGGTTGGAGGGCGGCACCTTTCGAAACTGGTCGTATCGCCCGAAATTTCCTCATCTTATACTTGAAAACAGCGCCCCGAGCCGGTCCCAGCCTTAAGGGCCACATGCGAACCCTACCCCTACCCCCCACGATTTCCGAGGGGGAGGGTGGGATTCACTTCGCTCGAGAGCTCCCGTGCGAAGTGAACCCCACCCTCCCCACGATTTCTGAGGGGCAGGCTTCGCATGTGGCCCCCTAAGCCTCCCGCTCCGCTCCGAAGGGGCGATGCGCCGCCCGCCCGCACGGAGTGGCGTGTCGAAAGGGGGCGCCGCCGCGGCACGTTGAGCAGAGGTTCCCGGCCGCAGAACTGCCAAGGGGCAGGATCGCAGATCCCGAGGGGGCCTCAGGAGGAGGAGGAGGAGGAGAAGGAGGAGAAGGAGGAGGAGGAGGAGGGGGAGGATGAGGAGGAGGAGGAGGAGGAGGAGGAGAAGGAGGAGGAGGAGAAGGAGGAGGAGCAGGAAGAGGAGGAGGAGGCCGCTCCTTCTCCTCTTCTTCCTCCTCCTCCTCTTTCTGCAGATGAAGCCGCCAACCATCCTCAAGGCCGATTCGCAATGCCAGAGGGTTCAGGGGCCCCCACTTCATCCGCGCGGCTGCTGCGCGCGCACGCTTCGAGGGTGTGGCACGTGGGGGACCTCGTCTGAAGAGCTGCAGCTTCCCGTGCGCCTGGTTGCTGCACGTGCTTGGTGACCTTGATGTGCGCTTGGGTGGACGCGGCATACGATAGCTCTATTTTGGGAAGGAGCCGCCCTTCACCCTTGTAGCTGGTGCACTTCGTAATGGCCAAGTCCCTGCGGCTGGGCCGCTGGAGCAAGCTGGCCCGAGGCCGTCCTGGCCCAGGTCCGAGTGAAGTTGTCCAGCGCACCTGACTCCCCAAGCAGCTTGCTGAGGCCTCTACCAACGTAAGTACCCAGCCAAGCATACAAGAGAGCTCTGAGATGGTTTCAACGGTGCCTAGCCGCAGCGGCGGTAGGAGAACATCAGGGAATTCCCTGTCTTTCTTACAGTCCGGCTTGAGCCAAACAGATAATGTGGCGTTTGCCCCCGCTTGGCTGCATTTCCACATCATGCGCTACGTTCAAGCTGCACTGTCGCACTCGAAGCAAGGCAGGGTTTGTGATAAAACCAGCGTTGTTTCTGGGAAGCCCTCCAGCAAGTACTTAGCTTTTTCCCCACAGTTGCCCTAATCTTGAGTGGCACACCAGCGTGTAACATGAGGCCGCTGGTCCCACCAACGCACCAACGGCGTCAAAGCGCCGCAGACCAGGATAACTACAAGTCGTTTCGCCCTGGAGGAGGATCGGATCGTATCGGCGGCCCGCGAATGGGCTGCACCGGGAGCCACTGGCTGGGGCGTGCAACTCCAACTGTGGGAGCAGCAGGTCAAAGAGCCCACACGAGGCGGGCACTGAGGGGGCCAAGCAAGTGACACGTGACTCGCCACTCGCTCGATCGGAAGAAGGCAGCGCGATCTGGACCGAGAGACGCTCAGGGCCAGGCACACTAATCGAGGCATACTACCTGGAGGAAGGAGGAGGAGGAGGAGGAGGAGGAGGAGGAGGAGGAGGAGGAGAAGGAGGAGGAGGAGGACGAAGAGGAGGAGGCGGAGGAGGAGGAGGAGGAGGGGGAAGGGCAAAATGAGGATGAGGAGCAAGCGAAGGAGCAAAATGCAGGAGAAGGCGGCGCCGTGGGAACCCGCCCCACCAGCCCAGCCGGCGCCGTGTCCTTCTTCCCGTACTCCCCTTTCTGGAACTTGGCCGCGGGCTCCGCGCCTTCGGGGGCGTCTCGGCAGCACAGGGGCGAGGAGGAGGAGCAGGAGGAGAAGGAGGAGAAGGAGAAGGAGGGGGAGGAGGAGTGAGGAGGCGGACGGAGGACAAGGCTGAGAGAAAGAGGAGGAGGAGGAGGAAGAGGAGGAGGAGGAGGAGAAGGAGGAGGGGGAGGAGGAGTGAGGAGGCGGACGGAGGACAAGGCTGAGAGAGGAGGAAGAGGAGGAGGAGGAGGAAGAGGAGGAGGAAGAGGAGGAGGAGGAGGAGGAGGAGGAGGAGGAGGAGTAGGAGGAGGAGGAGGTGGAGGAGGAGGAGGAGGGGGGGGCTGAGAGAGGAGACGGAGGGGGAGGAAGGAGGGTGAGGGGAAGGAGGAAGGGGAGTGGAATGAGGAACACCTAAGGATTTGTCGTATTAAAGGATGGGCCTGACTACTTCTTTCCCTGAAGATACTCAGGGCGCCCTGCAAGCCCCGTTGTATCCGCACAGCCGAGGGGTCGGCTGAGTGGCAGGAGGAAACAGAAGGGAATGGAGGAGATCAGAAGGCAGAGAAGGGAGATGAGGATGACGAGGGGAACGAGGAGGGGGAAGATGAGGAGGACGAAGGAGAGACCGGTGCAAAGCCAAGGCTCGTCAACGATATTGGGATGAACCCTCCACCCAACTCCCTTGTCATATGCCCAATAACTACAAGGGCTCATTTCTACTGAAAGAATCGTGCCAGAACACCATTCTCGAAATTTCAACGCCGCTAATCAACCTGATTGTTGCGTCTTGACGATCCTGAATCATCCCAGAAGGCCATCACCCCGCATCAACATAACTACTGCGCCCTGCCAGTCGCGAATCACTCCGAAAAGCCACTTTTTGCTGCGACAACCATGGGAATCCGTGAAACCCGTGCAATGTTTGAAAAGAGGGTGCGCGGCGCTAAAGCGAGTGCCACATTTTGATAAGGAACCGTCCTCAGTCCGTGAAACTCTTGCATCTGTTGACACGAATGTGCGCGGCGCTAACGGCGAGAGTCACATTTTGAAAACCACCAGCCCTCCATGTGTGAAACTGCTGCCAACTGTTCAGCTTCAGGGTCGTGCATGGTGCGGAAGTCTCAGGCGAAACGCCCAGCTTGCCCTTTCAACCGGCCTCGGGGTGCGACAGGGAGGAGCTGCTTAAAATTAAAAGGAAAAGGAATGGAGCAAAAACGAGGAACACGATGAGGATAAGGAGCGCGAGGATAAGGCGAACGACAAGGAAGCGGAGGTGCATGCTGAAGCACGAGAAGGGGGGCGGGGAATGAACGGATGGGCGGGATGGGACGCGAAGGGGCGGGATGGACTGGGACTGAGATGGCGGGGAGGGGGCAGGGAATGAACCCGTTGGGCGGAGGAGAGGAGGGTGTGTGGGGTAGGACAGGGCGGAGGGAGGAATAATGAAGGGCAGGAGGGGGAACACCAGGCAAGAGGGGGGAGGGGGAGGAGAAGCCTGGCACGAACGAGGATGAGGGGGAGGGGGGCAGGGGAGCGGGGAAGAGGAGAGGGACGAACACGGAGAATGAAGAAACTGTGGAGGTGGCAAAATGGCGGAGACCCGAAACCCTGGACTCAAATTTGTTGACATCTCGATTTTAAGTACTCCCGCCGCCTTCCGCCAGCTCCCCCGCCAGCGGAACCCTCGCCGTTTTACATCCGCTGGCGTCGGCCAGCCCTCCGCCGAGGGCGCCGCCGCCGTCTTATACTTCCTTGTTGTTGCGTTCGCCACGGCCTCTTGCCGCCGAAAGTTACGCGACACGGTTGTCTCATCCTGCCCGATCGGAACTACAGGAGGTGCAGGTGGGCGGGCGATGCGACTTGCGGGCGCTGAGCCGTCGAGAGCTCCCAAGCTCCGCCCCCAAACACCCCCACCTCTGCGGGGGTGGTACAGTGTAGGAGCCCGGCGACAGCCACACTGCAAAACGGGCTGGCGATCTACCCCGAGGCTCAGCTCGAATGCAGACAGCGATTGGAAGCAGACCTGTTTTTGGTACCTACCTGGGTAACCCCTAGCCATCTTACCTCCGCCAGCCTCCGCCGACCTTTTCCGTCGAGGGCAAGACGCTCTCCGAAGGCGAGGCCGCTTGTGGAGCGCCCCGTGTGCTCTGACCTCCGACGTCGCGACTCGTTCCCAACCTGGACCCCAGAGGTCGGGCGGGTGGTCATGGGGGGGTGGCCCACATGGGGGGTGAAGAAAAAAGGTCCTAAAGGAGCCCTTCAGGGCCCCTTTTGGAACCAGTTGGTGCCCAAAAGAGGCCCTGAAAGGCCCCTTTAGGGCCTTTTTCTTCACCCCCCATGTGGGCCACCCCCCATGATCACCCGCCCGAAGAGGTCTGCAGCTCTTCCCCAGGATCGGCTCTTCGTCCCGAGTCGTTTCTTGACAGCCCTGGGGCCCGGCAAGGGCCCCCCAAGAAACTGGAAACTGCCACGATGGGCCCTCAAGCTCAAGGGTCTGGGCTGGTGGGGTGGTGAGGGGGGAGGGAAGATGAGGGTACACTTGTGGATGCTTTCCGCCATGCCCGAAGGGCTGTGCTGCGCCTAACGACGCGATCGCACCCCGGGTCAGGCACCGAAGCCATTGACTAAGAGAAACGAGGAGAAACTATGATGGATGAACACGGAGAAGGATGGAGGAGGATGGATAGAGAATGGAGGGGGATGGAGCAAGATGGATGATGGCGGAGAATCGAGGAGGAGGAGGAGGAAGAGGAACGCCAGTCCCAGCAAGGGGGGGGGCGGGCCAGCAGCGGGTGCAGCGAGGAGCGGGAAAGGTCCGAGGTCCCACGCTACCCCTGGAGGACGGATCCCGTGTAGAGCCCCTTCACATCTGCATTCAGCCCGGACATGGCACGGGCCCGTGCTCGCATAATTCCCTTAGCGGCTTCGGCCCCACGGAGGCATTTTGCCCCTCATGCTGTGCTGAGTGCAAGAGATCGATGGGAACAACCGCAGAACACAGCTCACTATTGGCAAAGATCGGGATGCGACCTGGATTGAACTGCTCGAACAACGGACCAGAACCCCAGCCAGGATTCAAGAGAGTGAGGAGGGCTCTCACTACGAGCACGATCATCAGGCACACCACGTAAGTGGTCCAGAGCATAGCCACCCATATTCGGACACCCCCACATACACCCCATCGTCCCTCCACGGTACCTGCTGCTCATAGTTCACTCGCTAAACATCGGTTTCAGCATGCTGTGAACCGATATGCACGGAAACCTATTGGCGACTAGCTCCAGGCGGATGAACGTGAGCTGCGCAACGCTCAAGGACAGCTCTGGCATCCAGTACCTCAGCCTAGGGAGCAGCAGGTGCACAGGGCTCACGTTAGACGATGCGCGCAGGACACGATCAACTTCCCCTTGCAATCCAATGGCCCAGGGATCCGTCGGCAGTCCAGGAACAGACTCAGACTCAAGAGATCTCATGGTCCCCCGAAGGGGCATGACTATGGTTTTCACAAGCAGCTGGCTCCACTCGTGGGTAGCGAAAACTGCCTCACACTCCACCAGATCTTCATAAACCTCCAGGAGCTCACGAAAAGAAGCAGCATCCTTGCGACGCGCGGAAGGCGGCAGCCTTGGCCATCTTCTCCAGAGACATAACATCGCAATGATATCCAAAGTCTCGAAGGCGGCAAAACATAGCACAATCTATCGAATTGCTGGGCGCCGCTGTCAGCCTCTGGGCGCACCTGCGCTCGAATCTTAGAATGTCCCTGCTGGGCGGGCACGCATCTGGCCCGCGAGGCCCCGCGCTGAGAAGCGACGCCCGCTGTGGCTTAGGACTAACTGGGCGAGGTTCTGCCAAGGCCCTTAGAGCCTGGGAGCGCGGGCTTCGATGGGATGCGCCGGGGGCCGCCCGATGGCGTGCCCATCCGTGCCGGCCACAATGCCCAGACACTTTCCAGAAATCTGAACCTGGAAGACCCCAACGATCACGCCCTGGCCCCTGAATCTCCCCCCGACCTCCGAGAGTTCACGGCCGCCGGGGGGAATGATGTCGGTCTTGGCAACGTTCATGGGCGTGCCCGTCGCTTCGGCACTCTGGGCCAACAGCTTCAACGCGCGCGGGAGGTCGGGAAAAAATCCTGGCGGAGTCTAACGCGAGATCGTCAGCAAATCCTGTCAGATTGGCCCGCGCACGCACGACCTGGGTCTTGCGAGACGCCGGGATCGGGTCGAAGCGCACCGCGAAGAATACCCCCGAGAGAGGGCAGCCCTGTCGAATCCCTCGCTCGAGCTTTGCCCGCGCTGGTTCAAAGCCGCGATAGCGGATGCAAGTCGCCCGTTCCGAATGCTACATCTTTGCCATGCCGACGAACCAACAGGGGCAGCGCCATCATCTTGAGCGCGCAGCATCCATGCGTGCGATATGCTTAGAAAAGCTCACTTCAGGTCAAAAAGGCACGCGCCCGCGTCTTGCCGGCACCCCACCACACTCCATAGCATCGTTTTGGTATCCAAAGAGATGCTGCGGCCCAGGACCTGACGGCCAGGGACGAATCCCCCCTGAACCCAGGGGATCGCGACCGGGCAGCAATCAGCAAGGGAGCGGGCCATCGCGGCAGCGATCATCTCATTGCAAGTGTCCACTAGGGTGAGAGGGCGGGCATTTCCAAGAGCTCCGGCATCCCCAGGCGATGCGGGTCAGGGTCGCCTCTGGGGAGGAACGCACCGCGGTCCGCGATGGGGTCCTTTGGGGGCTCTCCACAATTCGCAAGATGCCCGTGCAGTCCGAGAACAATGCCAGCGGCTACTGGCATGCGCTGTAGAGGATCCCGTCGGGGCCTGGGCTGGAGTCTCGCAATCGAGTCATCACGTCGGCGCAGATGGGCCTCGACAGGAACCGCCGGACACCCGCGGTCGCTTTCTAGATGAACGGGCATACTTCTCACGGGCATCAGAGCCCCGCTGCCGACGGCGGGCGACATGCCCCCAGTGTCGGGCTGAGCACTTGGCGCGCTCGTCTGGATCCGCGATGGCCTCGCCAGCCGCGTCGATCACAGAAGCGAGCGCAACAGATCTGCGCGAGTGGGCCCAGGCGAGCCCGAGCTCCTTCAAACGCGGCGTCTTCCTGTCTCTCACGTGCTCAGACAAGCTTGGGCCCGCTCGAACTTCGGCTTCATCCCCCAGGTATCGCTGCCGAGCCTTAGCAGCTAACGCTTCATGGAACTCATGGGGGCGGGGCCACTGCCAGACCTGAGGAACGCGATGCCCCCCGAGAACAAGAAGTGCCCGAACAGCTTCTGAACCGCAGGCCAGCCCCCGGGAACGCGCCCCCGAACCAGAGCTAGCATCCAGGCAGCCTCATTGGCCATGGGCCCAGGGCCTTCCAACTCCCTCCTCGCGGTTTTCTGGGCGGCCTCGTAGAAAATATACTTGAGGTCACATTGCGTGGCGCATGAGTCATCGCTGGGATCTAACGGCGCGGCGAGCTCCACCGCCGCTCCGTCGAGCATTCGCCGCCGGCGCGCCGATTTCGGAATGCCCCTGGTCCCCGAGCCTGTCTTCCCCCAGGTTGCACAGCAACGGCGACCGCCGCGTGGCCACTTGGAGCGACGTCGCAGCTTATGTCGCACAAGGGGCCCCGAGAGAGGTCGCAGCTGCAATGGCGCGGCGGTGGGAATATTACAATACCTATACGACCGCCCTGCGGGCGATAAGGAGGTTGGGGGGATTGAGATCAAATGCCCACCCTGACTGGCCTCCAACCTGTCACCTTGATCTCATCTCTCTCGTTCTCTCTGTATCTCTCTCTGTCTCTCTCTCTCTCTCGCCCTCTGTCTCTCATTCTCTTTCTCTCTCTCCCTCTCTATCAGAGTCCCCCTCCCTATCGTAGTCTCCCTCCCTCCACCCTCAGATGGATTGGATAAGAAAAGATCGGCTGGATTGGAAGATGGGTTGGATCAGATAAGATGGATTGGATTGGCCCGCCGCAATGGATTGGTCGGGATAAGATAAGATGGGGCAATATGGGCAGGATAATATAAGATGGGTTGGATTGGGCAAGCTGGACTGGATCCGATAAGCTGGATCGGGTAAGAAAGCCCGCCGCAGGCGCCGACAAAACTGAATTGATGGATTGGGTTGGGTGGGTTGGATTGGATGGGATAAGATGGATTGGGTAAGATGAGATGGGTTGGATTGGAAGAAATGGCTTGGATAAGATACGATTGATTGGACTGGCCCGCCGCAGGCGCAGAAACAAATGGAGTGATGGATTGGGTTGGGTGGATTGGATTGGGCGGGATAAGATAAGATGGGACAATATGGGTTGGATCGGAGGTTGGGGGGTGAGATCGCAATGTAACGGAGCCCCCCCACCGGGAAATCGAGTTTCGAGTTCGTGCTCGTGCCGTGCGTGCGAGGCGAAGCTGCGTGGGCCAGCGAGAGGAATTCACTCTGCTGTCGCTAGGGGTCTGCCAACACAAATGTTTCCCCCCCCCCGGCCTTGTCAAGCGGTAGCCCACGTTGTCCCGTCGGTTGCCCGCCGGTTGCCCGCGGTAGCCCACGTTGTCCCGGTCGGTTCCCCCCACCCCCCCACAACCTCCTTATCATCCGCAGGGTGGTCGTATAGGTAGTATAAGATGCATTGGATTGGACAAGATGGATTGGATAAGATAAGCTGGATTGGACAAGAAAGCCCGCCGCAGGCGCCGAAAAAAACATTAAATTAACGACGTGCGTTAGCGTTAGCGCCGGGGCGCCCGGGACACCGCCCGGCCCAACTGGGACCTCCCGGCCACCGGCGGACGGGCAACGGACTTCCATTCCTACTGACACCCGGGACACCCGGGACACCGCCCGGCCCAACTGGGACACCTCCCGGCCACGGGCGGACGGGAAACGGACTTTCGCTCCTACTTCGGCCTAGCTACAGGAGGATCACGCGCAGCTTCGCCTCGCCCGCACGCACGACACGAACGCGAAAACGAAACAGATTTCCCGGTGGGGGGTCTCAATTTCACTGCGATCTCATCCCCCATCCTCCGATATTCGATCCAAACGGCCTGGCGGAACCAGATGTCCACGCCGCATGCGTTCGCGCGCGCGCTCGCTCTGGCGAGTCTCAGCAAGGCCGAGGGGGGCAGCGCGAAAATGAACGGCAAGCGAGTCCTGCTGAGTCTCCCGCTTACCTTCGGCGGCCACAGGACGCCACTCCCCCTCCTTGGAGGAATTGATGCACCCCCAATCCAAACGGCGACAGGGGCCGAGTGCCAATTGCGAGCAGCAGTACGCGACAGCGCATCCTTCTGCGCAGGGATAGAGAGCTTCGGGCCCACATGAACCAAAATATTGTAGCCTTCCAAGCTCCAATGCACCAACCCGTCCACGAATCAGTGACTCAAAGGTAGATGACAAAAATGCGCATGCAGACGAGCGCGCATCATAATGGCCAGGCCACCAGCGATGCCAGGCTTGCAGAACGTGCCCTAAGAGCGACGGCGTGGAAAAAAGCGCCGCATCGAGATCAGGTCGCATCGGGTCCGCGGGTCTCCTGGACAACTATAACATCGAACTTCTGAGCAAGACGACGGAGGCGAGCATGTGCATCGAGCTGAGTCTCGTGGCATCCCCAGACACGTCCAAACTAACCCCGAACGTGCCAGGTCACAACCGAAAGCCTATAGGGAGAGCAGAGAGGAACATGGCCTGGACTGGCAGGTGGCACGGGCGGGCCCCCTGACTCGAGTTCAGAGTCAGAGCTGCCGCCAGAGCTGCCGCTCCGCTCTTCCGAAGGGGAATGAGAGAAGGTCTCGCTCGACCCAGAGGGGGGCGGGGAAGAGCTGGACGAGGAGGAGCACATCGAAGCAGCACGCTACCGCTGTCGCTGACAAGGTCTGCATAGGGCTCGCTTCGGCGACCGGCCCAGACCCCGCCACGCATGCTGTCATCAATTGCGCTGCAGGGCGTGGGAGAGAGTGTCCAGGAACGCAAGGATAGATAACCTCATCCAGCGAGTTCTGACTCATAGTTGGTCGGTCTCGCAGAAGCATTTCCTATTGGCTGGTGGCTTTCGTCGCTGCGGCCTCCGATGAGCTCCTGAACGGCCTGGCCGTTGATGCCCAGGCTGCCAAACTGCCCCAGGAAAAGATTGAACGTCCAGCCCTGCGCACCTGAACCCTCGATCTCATACAGGTCGAAGATGTCCTCGTCCGAGATCCAGCTGATGATGCCCCGGTAGCCATTGCAGCCCAGGTTGAAGCCGCGCATCTCTGTCCCTGGGGCTCTCAGCAGCTGCGTGGTGCCCGCCCAGATGGGCGCAGCCGCACGCTGACGAGCGCGGACATCGAGCGGAAGATCGCCTCGGACTCTGATGGCGTACCCTCGCTGGTCTCTGGGGTCGGGCACCATCAGCTGGCGGTCCACAAAAAAATTCTGGAACTCACGTGCTGTCACCTCGGTCCCAAACTCAACCGCGAAACTCTTCCCTGCTCTCGAAATGTGGAGCGAAAGGCCGTCCCTCAGCTGCTGTGGGGTAGCCCGTTCCATGTGCTGATGGTGGAAGCTCTTGCGCTGCGTGGAGGTAAGAGTCCCGGGAAAAGGTCCCGACCCAGCGCTTGAGCTTGTTCCTAGGAGCCTCGTCACGTCGTGCTCTCGGAGCCGAACCCGACTCCGCCGAATTAGACACGTTGGAACACACAATTGGGCGGCTCGCGAACTCGGCCACCTTTGCGTCTAGGGCTTCGATCTTGCTGTCAACTGCTGCCGGCACCGCCGTCTGCGCCGCCTGCGTGATCGCACCCGTCTGGCTTCGCTCAACCTCCTCCATCCTGCTGTTCAAAGCGCCGATGTTTACCTCCTAGGCCTGCAAATCGCTGCGCAAGTCTGACACCTCCTGCTGCATCGACTATTCCGGGCGCGCGATCCTATTGCCCGTCACCCTCATCTCTTCGACTAGTCCCCTCATCCAAGCTGGTGTCTCATCTGGCGCGGCAGCAGTTCCCCTGGGCGGGGTAGGACTCAATGTAGATTCTCGGCGTCGCCGACTGTCATACCTCGAACTCCCCGTTCGCGATCTGTCTCGACTGTCCGATTGCGACCTGTTGCGTGCAATTCTCGATGGACTCATGGAGTAGTGCTCGAAAGATTCCTCTCGCTGACGACAAGTCTCTCCCTTCTTCCCCTGGCGGCCATGCGGCGTCATCTCCGAAGCGCTGGGGTCCACTGGAATGACGCGTGGAATGGTCGGAAACGGGAGCGGAAAAGGGTCGCCTGTCGACCAGGCGCGGGACGCCCCGAGCCGCCCCCTTGGCAGCGACCAGGTACGAAGCGCCAGGGTCGCACGTTTCGTACCTGAGCCAAAACGGCTACGAAAGGAGGAGGAGGAGGAGGAGGAGGAGGAGGAGGAGGAGAAGAAGAAGAGGAGAGGTAGAGGGCGACGGGGAGGATGATGCCAGACACAAGAAAAACCTGCCGAGAGCTTGTTGAATTAATTACTCATTTTCTGTGAGTTTTTCCCGTTGGTCTTCCCCCCTTTCTTTTAGGCAAGGGGTTGTTGGCACTGCCCCGTGGCGCCCGCAGCGCCATCGCCGAATCCACGTTTGCCGCCTGCGGGAGCGCTGTCGGAGGGCCGCCAACGCCGCCGCCACTCTGGCCGCCGCCTGTGCCGCCACGGGCGCCGCCACCGCCGCCACCGCCGCCGCCGTCGCCGCCGCCGCCGCCGCCGTCGTCGTCGTCGTCGTCGTCGTCGTCGTCGTCGTCGTCGTCGTCGAGGCTTCAGGCCCCGCTGTCGGAGCCCTCTGAGCGAGAAGCCTGCCCGGTGCTGGAGGATCCCAGTGGAATGCAATGGTGAGGCATCAAGAGCATGCAATGCAAAAGCAGCGGAATCCAATGCAAGTGGAATGCGGAGGGACGCGTGGGCAATGCGCCAGGAACGCGTGTGTTCAGAAGAAGAAGAAGAAGAAGAAAACGCAGGCACACGCATCAGCAGAACCTTCCGGAGGCTCGCGCGGGCGCCAGAGGCGCCGCCAGGGAAGCACCCACGCGGAACCCCCGAACTTTGGGCCCGTGCCGTCTGCTCTGCGTGGTGCCTGCGCGGCCGCCGGCCGGCCCGGAGCCCATGGAACCCGGGCGCCTCGAGCCAGCCTGTGGCCCGGCCGAGCGGGGCCGGGGCCTTCCTCCTCCTCCTCTTCCTCCTCCTCCTCCTCCTCCTCCTCCTCCTCCTCCTCCTCCTCCTCCTCCCCCTCCTCCCTGGAAGCTGGAGGCGCACACGAATGCTGGGTCCACGCGCGGAGCACGTGCCCGCGCGGGCGGCCGGCACGCGTGCGGGCCCGCACGGGGGCCGAGCGCTGGAGGTGCGGCTGCGCTCGCAGCCGGCCCGCATCGCCGGCTGCTTCCTCTCGCCTCTCCTCCTCCTCCTCCTCCTCCTCCTCCTCCTGCTCCTCCTCCTCCTCCTCCTCCTCCTCCTCCTCCTCCTCCTCCTCCTCCTTCGTGCGCGCGCCTGTCTCCTCCGGCTCCTGCACCGCTTCGCCCCTGCACCGCTCTGTCGCGCCTGTCCCTACCCCAGGATCCCACATCGCATTCGGCATGCTCACCTCGCTGCAGAGTGAGGCAGCTCGTCTGTGACGCGTCCCGCATCCCTCGACGCGCCACCACGGCGCTGGACCAAGTGGATCCACCCATCGCCCAGCCTGGCCGCACCGAGTGTATCCAGCCTCGTGGGCGGGCCTGGACATATAGTTCAGAGGTTCGCTTCTGTCGTTTGAAATTTCGGACTATCCGGAGCAGGCAGAATCGGGGGACGATGAAGGACGCTTTTGTTTTGCATGGTGGCCCGATGATGAAGATTGCCACTTTCCCAACGGATGGAAAGGGTACTTCACCATGCTGAAACAGGCCGAAAGGAAAAGGATGGCGGGGAGAAGAGACAGAGAGGGAGGATCGAGAAGCGAGACGCCTTATGGACACGAGCCGTACGAATACAGCCGGACACGCGAGAGGGGGCGACCATAAACTCCGCAGGCCGCTCCAGCAGTGCGGGCGGTCGGGCGAAAGCCGAGGCTCGCCGCAACCACACTCCTCAGCCACTCTGTAGGGCGCAGCGTGTCAACGACTGATCGACATCGGCCAAAGGACCACGGCACGCGCCACAAGAGAAGCGTGAGATCCGAACGCCGTGAGACCGACAATGCACGACAGTGGTGGCGGTGCCTAACAATGACACGTCAGTAGAGGAAACTTTCTGCGTCGGCGGCGAGGCGGAGGAGATCCGCACCAGCGTCGGGTTCATCGGGGGCACCGATCGGGAAATCGTCGGGCGTGCGAGAGAACGGGAGGGAGGAGAGGGCGGCCGCGCGGGGGGAGAAGGACGGTAGAGGCAACACGAAGAAAGGGGGAAGAGGGGAAGGAGGGATGTGGATGTGGATGTGCGCGCGATGACGGTCCAGCGGGACCGGCCCTAGGAGGGCGGCGCGTGGGGGCTGGAGCCCTCAGTAGTCGGCCTGGGACTGGTGGCCGATCTGGACGAAGGTGTGACGCGTAGATTTTTTTGGGGGGGGCGTCTGGTGTACTATGGAGTCCAATGGGTGGACGAGATCGACTGGGAGGGAGGGAGCGGACGAGATCGACGCACAGCGCACCGCAACTGGAGGACACCACCCGCCGGCGCCGCACCAGTGCCGCGGGCGTGCGGAGGAGCGGCCGCAGCACGGGGTCCGACGCGGAGAGGCACGGCAGGCAGCAAGAGCGAGCAGAACAAGACCTCCGCGCAGGGGGCTGCCGCTGGGCGGCGAGCTGGCCCGAGCGCCACGGCCCCGCAGCGGCCAGGTGGACAAGCATAGGGGGAAGATAACTATGCACAGATTGGAGGCCTGGAAATGGGCACCAACACCAGAACAGGGGGTTGCCTCCACAGGGGGAAGATGATACCGCCAGAATATGACCACCAGCACCGAGATCGCGATCTCCATCCTTCGGTGGAGGCACACCGCCGATCCTGGTGTTGGTGTCAACCTCTGGGCCTGCAAACATACACTGATTCTGGCCAGGCTCATCCTGAGCCCAGGATCGGTGCATACGCCCGCTACCTTGGCACAGAAGGTATATGCACCGATCCTGGGTAAAGGATGGGCCTTGCCAGGATCGGTGCATGTGTATAGTTCTTTTCGCCCGAAAGCAGGATGGCACGGGCGGTGAGGAGTGGCTTCGAGCCGAGCGGAGCTCAGCTGAGTCCACCGCAGCGAAGTCAGGGTGTACGGAGCTCGAGCTGAGACGTCGAGTGCAGCCAGAAGCGGGGCGATGGCCAAGCACGGGGTTGGGCGGGAGGAGCGAAGAGGAATGGCAAGGGGGCCCGAGCGAGAAGAGGCGGGGGCGATTCCGCAAACCGCGGGCGGCCTGGAAAAGGGCCAGGCAGCACCGCCTTTGGCCCAGGACGCCCCCCCCCTCGATGATCCTCAGAACGTGCGCCAGCACCAACGCGTGCTCGTGTGATGGTCCACCGAAGCCCTTCCATGCAACGCAGGCGGTGCAACGAAGGCCGGCACGGGCTGCGTGCTATCGGTGGGGCAGCACGGGGCGTCAACCTTTCGGGCCGCGGCGCCGGCGTCCGCACGGCCTGGGAGGGCCCAGATCGGGCTGCGGGGCGGCAGCCTGGCACCAGCGAGGCGGGCGGGGGGGGAAGAGGAGCGCGGCCGCGGAGAGAGGACTGCGGGCGGGCCGGCGGCCCAGGCTCCGAGGCGGAAGGGAGTGCACACCCCAGGTATGCGACGCCCAGGCTTTTGCAGTGTGGGGGGTCCTGGAAGTCCCGACCCTCTCTCCCCTCCCTCTTCCCTCCCTCCTCCC